AACTAATATGAGAGGGAAACATCAATTGGCAGCCTCCCACATGTACTCTGACCTGGGATTGAACCTGCAACCTTTTGGTGTATGGGACAATGCTCCCACCATCTGAGCCACCTGACCAGGGCCCAGATTCTATTTTAGATTGAAAAAACATGCAGCATCTATTTAGGGGGAGACAGGTGGAGAAATCAGACTTTGGACTACATGTCAGATGATGTGACCAAAATGATGTTAAAAATACATACATACAGCCTGGCTGGTGTGGTTCAGTGGATTGAGCATCAGCCTGCAACCAAAGGGCTGCAGGTTCGATTCCCAGTCAAGGGCACATGCCTGGGTTGCAAGCCAGTCTCTGGTTGGGGGCGTGTGAGAGGCAACCACACACTGATGTTTCTCTCCTTCTCTTTCGTTAAAAATAAATTTAATCCTCCCCCCCCCCGCAAAAAAAAAAACCCCAGACATACATACAACCTAAAACTATAAAACTCCTAGAAGAACACATGGGGGAAAGACTTCATGACATTGAATTTGGCAATTTCTTGGATATGAAACCAAAAGAATAGGCAAAAAAAGCAAAAATAGATAGTTTGGATTGCGTCAAAATCTTTTGTGCATCAAAGAAAACAATCAACAGAGTGAAAATGTAACCTTACAGAATAGGAAAAAGTATCTGCAAACCATATATCTGATAAGAGATTAATATCCAGATTATAAAGCACTCCTACAACTCAACAACAAAAAAGAAATAACCCAATTTAAAAATGGGCAAAGGACTTGAATAGACATTTCTCCAAAGAAGATATACAGAAGCAAGAATATGAAAAGATGCTCGACATCACTAATCATTAGAGAAATGCAAATCAAAACTACAATGTGATATCACCTCACAGCCATACAGATTACTACTATCAAAAAGAAAAAAAAGCCCAGAAAATAAGTGTTGGCAAGGATGTGAAAGAACTGGAACCCTTGTGCACTGGTGGTAGGAACATAAAATGGTGTTGCTGCTGTGGAAAACAGTTTGGAGTTTCCTCCAAAAAAAGAAAAATGAGAAAGAAAGAAAAAGAAATGTAAAAACCAAACAAAAACAAAAAATAAATTAAAACAACAGCAACAACAACAAAAAAACCCACATAGAATTACTATATGATACAGTAATTTCACTCCTCAGTATATATGCAAAAGAAATGAAAGCAGAGTCTTAAAGGGATATTTGTGCACCCATATTCATTGCAGTATTATTCACAATAGCCAAGAGGTAGAAGCAACTCAAATGCCCACTGATGGATGGCTGGATAAACAAAATGTGATATATGTATACAGTGGAAATTGTTCAGTCTTTAAAAAGATGGAAATCCTGTCATGTGCAAGGTCCACATGGATGGACCTTGAGAACATTATGCTAGGTGAAATAAACCCATTCACCAAGAGACAGATGTTGCATGATTCCACTTATATGAGGTACCTAGAGAAGTCAAAATCAGGGAAACAGAAAGTACAAGAGTGGTTGCCAGGGGCTGTGGGAGGGGGAAATGGGAATCGTGTTCCATGGTTATAGTTTTAGTTTTACAAGGTGAAAAAGTTCCAGGGAGAACTGTTATGCAATAGTGTGACTATAGTTAACAGTATAGTACTGCTGAACTGTACACTTAAAAGTAGTGGAGAGTAAATTTTATGTTTTTACCACAAGTTTTAAAATTAAAAATACACACATACATAAACACATAATAAATAAATGCAATGAAATTCTTGGTGCCCTGCTTGCCCTGGAGGTCAGCTCTTTCTTGAAGGAAGAGTTGATTCTCTCCGTTCTCTTGGGGCCTGGCTGTTCCCCTTAGTTCTGTCTGAACATAAGATCACAGGCCACAGCCTTCCTCAAGCTTTTGGGCTTTCAAAAACAATTTCAAAAAACTCTTTCCTGGTACAGCTTTTAGTTCACATCTAAGATTACATAATTTTGATTGTCATAAAATGTAAAATATAACATTTTAATGACAGTGCATTTCTTTGTCAGATGGACTGAGAGGGCTCATTCTGAGGCAGGACAGTAAGAAGCTAGGAAAATTCCTGGGCAAGCAGAATGGGGAAGCTGAGACAAGAAAATTAAACACAGCTAAACAGTTTGAACAACTTATAGCCATCTAGTGAATTGCAAGACTTTATCTTCCCTAACTAAGGACACTGGAGAATAAATAGTTTACACCTCTCCTCCCTGACCAGAGAATACATAGTTTAAATCATCCTGGTCAGGGAGATAGAGAACAGAGACCCAGTTAATGCCATTTGTGCCAGCTGTACCCAAGGACAGATGAAGTCAGGGGGAAAAATAACAAAAACCCCATTAAAGCCAGAAAGATCCAAGATAAAAGTGAAACAATAAAATAGACCAAAAGTTAACTCCAAACTCTTCTATATGCTCATTCTGATGCATCATTATGTTAAAAATGCAACTGGAAAGCTGGTGAATATTCTGCTGAAACCTTCCCCTGAGGTGGCGAGGGTCCTGAAGGTCCCTGTTTGGGCGCCTGCTGAGGTGGAGGTCAGACTCTGTCCTGTAGAGGCCGCTCTCGGTCAACATGGATGGGGAAATAAAATAAGTCGTTCCAGACCTTTCTGTCTGCCAGGAGAAGGGGGCGGGGTGGCAATTTCCTTTAGTGGAGAAGGCCCCCAGGCCCTCTGTCCAATGGCTTTTATTGAAAGGGTTACCAATGGGGGCTATGTAGTAGGAATGTACAGGTGATCTCATTACATCAGTATGTTAACGTTTACAGAAAATAGATGATGTTTTGAAGAAAACAAATGGTAGGAATACACCAATTTACATGGGTCTGAGATGAGATGAGTAAACATAAGAGCGCCAAAGTGTTTGGGGTCAGGGCCTGTGAATAATGCAAATTCCCTTCCCAGCATGAGCTGGTTATCATAGCTTTTAAGGGGAAAACAAAGCATGCTTCAAGGAATTTACTTCTAGGCCTGATTTCCCCCAGGAACTGCCCGATCCAGTTTAGGGCTGTCTCCAGTGTTGTTTTAAGCCTGAGCCAGGTGGAGGGAGCAGAGCTGCCGAGAGATAGGGAGATTTCTTTCAGACAGAATGAGGGCCCCGGCCATATCAAAGCCAAGGGGTGAGGATCTTTTGACCTTTCTCCATGTCCCTCAAGTTTTCCCCTGATGCCCATGTGGCTGTGCCCCTGCCATCGAGTCTTACCCATCATTGACTAACCAGCCATCATCCGGGGCCAAGCAGGGTGATGTGGGGAAGGCAGGGGCTGCACCTCACCAGAGGGACAGGTATTGTCTCCTTAGTGGCTTATTTTCCCAAGGCCTTAGCTCCAGCCTTGAGGCCCTCTCACCTGTCAGCGAGGCTAAAGTTCCTAAAACCCCTGGGGATGGTTCCCAACACTCCCCGCTAAGATTCTCACCTGAAGAAGAGAAATGAAAACCCTTACAACAAAGACCCAGGGTGGATTCACTCTAGAGCAGCTGTCCCCAACTTTTGGCACCAGGGACCAGTTTCATGGAAGATGACTTTTCCATGGATCAGGGTGGGGGTGGGGGAAGGTTTCAGGATGATTTAAGTGCATTACATTCAAACTCACCTCTTGCTATGTGGCCTGGTTCCTGACAGGCCAAGACCAGTACCAGTCTGCAGACTGGAGGTTGGGAACTCCTGCTCTAGAGCATGCCCATGCCCCTTCCAGGACATGAAGTTTTCACTTCCTCTTAACTCTAAGGGTCCCCACAAGACTGACAGCCAGGGGAGCAGTGGGCAGTGGCAGCAGCAGCTCATCTTGGATTTACCCCTTAAACCTGCCTCCAAAGCTCCTTTTTCTCTGACTTTCCAGTGAGTTAAAAGCAGCCTTGCCTTGGCTCACTCCTTTCCTTTAATGTCTTTAGGGAGCCAAAGCAGAGCACCACTTGGCTCTCTCCTGTTGTTTCTATGCTAAGCCTTCCTTGTTTTACTGTCCCCAGCTTTAACAAATGCACTCTTAAAATCACTTGGACTTGTGTTGGGAAATCTTTCCTGCACGAAGTCAAGAACCCACACACTACTGACTGGCCTGCGGCAGACCCGCTCCGGGCCCAGTCCTTGTCTGGTGACATTCCTATTTTTCTATTTAATTACTGTATCTGTAGATGAACGTTCCTTGTTGTTATAGTGAGGCTGAGTTGGGTATTAATTCTACTCTTTTTTTATGTTAAAAGCTGAGGAACTGTTACATTTCTATTGTCTGGCTGTAACAAATAACTAAAAACTCAGTGCCTTAAAACTATAGAAATTTATTCTCCTACAGTTCTGGAGACTATAAGCCTAAAGTCAGTATCACCAGGCTAAATCAAGGTGTCAGCAGGACCCCCTCCTGGAGGCTCAGAGGGGGAACTTCCCCTTGCCTTGCCTTGCCCAATTTCTGGTGGCTGGCAGCATTCCTTGGCTTGAGGCTGCATCACATCAAGACCAGTGTCTTCAATTCTTGCTCTGTCTTCACATTGCCTTTTCCTATTTGTGTCAAATCTCCCTCTGTCTTCCTTTTATGAGGATACACATGATTGCATTTGTAGTCCCCCTGGATAATCCAGGATAATCCTCCCATTTTAAGATCCTTAGTGTAATAACATCTGCGAAGGCCTTTTTCCAAATATGGTAACCATCATGGATTCCAGAGATTAGGACATGGATATCTTTTGGGAAGCCTGTTTCAGTTTACCACAGAAACTTTGTTCTTTGAATCATTCAGCACATATTTACTGAACACCTACTGTGTGCCAGGAATTTGTTAGGCATGGAGGATATGGTTATGAACAAAAAAGAGATCCCTAGCCTTTGGGAGCTGACATTCTAAGGCTGCATTTTCCAAAATGGTAGCTATAAGCCCTGAATGGCTACTGAGCATTTGAAATGCGGCTAGTCTGAACTGAGGTGTGTTGAAGTATAAAATGCACAGAGGATTTTGAAGATTTAGCACATACATGTAAAGAATTTTAAATATCTCAATAATTTAAAAGTATTGATTACATGTTGAAGTAATAATATTTGGGATATATTGGGTTACATCAAATGTTATTAAAGTTAATTTCACGTGTTCCTTTTTAGTTTTTTAAAAAAACGTAGCTAATAGAATATTTAGAATTACATGTGTAGCTTGCATTGTATTCGTATTGGATGGTACTGTTCTAAGTGTGGGGGGAGACTGTGGACAATTAACACAATAAATATGCATATTATGTGGTGTGTTAGGAAGTGATAACTTCTATGGAAAAAAATAAAGACAAGAATAAGGTAGTGTATTAGTTTCCTGGCACTGCTGTAACAAATTACCACAAACTTAGAGGCTTAAAAAATAACCCCCACCAATTTATTACCTTGCAGTTCTAAAGGTCAAAAGTCCAAAATATATCCTAGGGATCTAAAATCAAAGGCTGAGTTTCTGCTGGAGATTCCAGGGGAAAATCCACTCTTTGTCTTTTTCAGCTTCTAGAGGGTGCCTGCATTCTTTGGCTCCCGGACCTCACGCCAGCCTCTGCTTGCATCATCATATCTCTTCCTTTGACTCGGACCCTCCTGCCTCCCTCTTGTAAGGGTCCTGTAATTACCTTGGGTCCACAGGAATCCAGGATAACCTCCCCATCTTAAGGTCCTTAATTTATCCCTAGCTGGTAGCTCAGTGGATTGAGTGTCAGCCTGCAGACCAGTGGGTCACCAGTTTGATTCCCAGTGTAGGGCACATGTGTGGGTTGCAGGCCAGGTCCCCAGGAGGGGACGCATGAGATGCAACCACACATTGATGTTTCTCTCTCTCTCTTTCTCCCTCTCTTCCCATCTCTAAAAATAAATAAATACAATCTTTAAAAAAAATCCTCATTATAAAAAAAAAAATCCTTAATCACATCTGTAAAGTCGCTTTTACCACATAAGGTAACATAGTCACAGGATCTGGGGATTAAGAAGTGGACATTGGGGGTGGGATGCATTATTCTGCTTTGCACAGGGAGGGTCAAAGGAGAGGAGTTACAGTTTTACACAGTTGTGTCTGAGAGAGGCTCACTGAGACTGTAAAATCTGCCTAAAGATCTGAAGGAAAGGAGGGAAGGAGCAGTGTGGATATTAGGGAAGGGCATTCCAAAAAGCAAGAACGGCCCATGCAAAGGCCAGATATGGGCCACTCCCTTTCACTGGGACCTCCTGCTCCTTGCTGCCCCTAAGTAATAGGTGCCTCTGCATCTTGCTTGAAGAACAGAAAGGTTTGAGATCCCTATTCATCATTGATCTCTTGGCACAGTCTCTGTTCCCCAGGTTTCCTCAAAAGGCAGGTTGGCCTGCGGGGACGGGCAGGAGCCTGCATCAGAAAGGCAGCAGGGCCAGCCCGCCCCTCCCACGGTCCAACTGGCTGGTCACCTGGGATCCGGCGAGGCCTTGTCCATGCAGCGTCCGCCTGCGGCGCCACTGGCGCAGGGAGGCATGGGCCTCAGAGCTGAGCCCCTTTGGCGCACGTCCTGCGTCGGGCTGGTAGTTGGCAATGTGGTGCAGCGCCCCAAACCACGTGGTCAGGTAGTACCCAGCTAGGGGCAAGAAGAAGAGGTTGGCGCAGCTCTCCTGGCTTCCCCTGTGGCCTGAAGGTCCCTTTAGTTTGCCCATCTTTCCACCTGCTTCAGGGTCAGGCTGTTTGGGGGCCCACCCTGTAGGGTCCTGACGTTCTGGGGATGGGGCCTCACCTTCTCCCAGTAGCTCTTCTGGATCCAAGAGCTCCATAAGAAACTCCACGTCCAGCTGTGTCTCCCCAATGTCCGGACTCCAGATAAGCTCCTCTGTTAGCGCTGGGAGGAAAGCGTCGGCGCCCAGGGGCTCTGCGAAAGTCAAGGACAGGCTCTGAGGGAGACGGGGTCCTGCAGGCCCCTTCCATCCCATCCCCAGGAGTACGAGCTCTGACTGCCTCTCACCTTGCTGGGCGTGCAAATGCCTCTTATCTGAACCCCAGGCCTGCGAGGACGCCTTCCAGAGAGCATATCGTCTTACCCCCTCGACATCCACACAGGCGTCTCCTACCTGGCTCGCGCAACCCTCAAGGCTGCTCCACATCCAGGTAGATGCAGACTCCTTCTTTACCTTGGTTCTTGCCCGAAGCCAACCCCGCGTAGACATCACTGCACACCGCCAGGAGCAACGCCACCTTGCGGCGTGGGGAGCAGGTGGCGTGGAGGTGCGCCAGGCGCGAGTGGATGCGGCTCCGCAGGGCGGGGCCCTGTCCTTCAGGCCCCGCCCCCTGAGCTCCCGGAGGCCCAGCACTCGCCCTCAAAGCCATTTGTCGCCGCCGTAAGCGCCGCAGCTCTGGGGCTCGGAGCGTGCGGAGTCGTGTCCACAGGGCAGGCTTCAGAGGCGCCAGTACCGCCTGGCACAAGGCCACCTCCACCGCGGGGCCTACGAGGGGCGGAGTAGGAGAGGGAAGAATCGCGAGCTGCTCCACGCCCACCTGCTCGCTCCACCCCACCTTGCCCGACTGCCACCCCTCCCTAGCTTCTGGTCACACACAAGTGTAGACATGGGTATGAACACGTGTGGAAGAGGGAGCCTGGGTGTGAACACGCGCGTGAGAGAGGGAATCATGGCTGTCACACCTGGGTGAGATGAGCGGCATCGAACAGAATAGGGGTTACTACGTGTAAGAAAGGGCAGGTGAGTGGAAAATGTGTGCACAGGGATAGGGAGGAAGAACTTGGGTGTAAACACATATGTATGGTCAAGTGATGGCAAATGTGAACAGTGTGGGTTCAGGAAGTGGCCATAAGTTTCCTCCCAGTCTTCCTCATTACCAAGATCCTCGTCCTTCTGGGGGACCCCAGGCCCCCTGCTTCCGAAGACAGCCCTGACACAGGGGTCCTTTGCTAAGTGGTCCTGGAGGTCAGTGAGGAGGTGCCGCACATCCTGAAGCAGCTCAGTGGCGGGGTCCCCAGGCCTGTGGGGGCCCCCAGCATCTGCGGTGAGGCGTGCTTTAAGGCCTTGGAACTGCCTTGCCACATAGCTGCTTCTGGACCTGGCCAGAGCCCGGACATGATTAGTAAGCACATCCTCAGGTCCTTCCCCTTCATCTTTGTAGCTGACAGTCTTCTCCTCTTCCTCCTCCTCCTCCAGGCTGGCCAGAGCTGGTCCAGGATGGTGTACTTCTGAGCTGAATGGGCCTTCCACCCAAGAGACCTGATGAGGGGCAGGGTTCCTAGGGGCTGGATGTGAGGAGAGGGTTAGTTCCGCAGAACAGCTGCAAAAGCTCCCTCATCTTAGGGCCCCAGGGCCTTGCCCAGCTAACCTGGATCACTTTTCTTGGCAGTCTCTGGAGGTGTCTCTGGGGTAGCCTGCTCCATTCCCTGCCCTCTGTGGATGTCCAGGTAGACCTTGTTCACCACGGAGAGCACCCTCCCTGAGGTATTGAGTTGGACACTGCCAATCTGCAGAAGATCTGGTCCCCCAAGTGCCATCCTCCTGGACCAAGTAGGCAAAAAGTCGGCCTCCCCCTCCCTTAAACAACCATGCCTTACCTGTGTGTTGTTCCCCAGGCCCTAGAGCAGGAGGGGGCAAGAGCAGAGTTCTGGGTAAAATATCCCTGAGAAAAGATAAATGGGAGCCATGATATGGGTAAGGTGGCTTAGAAAGGGATTTCCCTGAGCCCTTGTGATAGGTGAGCTGTACCTGCTGGCTGATAGGAAGGCCAGGAGATGGGGCAGGTCTGGCATGCAGAGGTTAGAGGATTCCAGACACACACCTGTAAGAGGGAGCAAGGAAGGAAAAGTTAGAAAATGAGAGGGGTTGGCTGCCCTCTCTTCCCTGGGACTCCCTCTTCCAAGTCCTGAATCCCTCCAAGAACCTTTAAACAGGGAAATTTCTATTGCTTGGTGTCTGAATCTTTACTGTGTCTTTATGCTTGCATCCTATGTATGCCACCAAATATTTATTCATTAGATAAGTATTTATTGAGCACCTTTTCATTCCCAGATACTGGGGATACATTTAGGAAAAGGCAGGCACCATCACTGCCTTCCTATAGCTTACCTTTTAGTGGAGGGAAACAGAAAATAAATGAGTAGAAAAATAAAGATAACTATATTGTACTGCGTGCTGGGAATAAAGTGGAGTGATTGAAAATGACCAGGGCCATCTGAACTGTGGTGGTCAAGAAGGTTACACTTCCACAGAGGGCTGAAGCGTGGAGACTAAACCAATCGTTCAAGGAGGAGCACTAATCCAGATGGGGTGAACAAGTGCAAAGGCCCTGAGGCTGGGATTCATCTCTTGTGCTCAAGAAAGAGAGGAGAGAACAGTGTGGCTGGGACAGAGGGAATGAGGGGCAGCAGATGGACAGATGGGCAGGCTGGCTACTGAAACCCCTTATAAAGTGTGATACGGAGTTTAAATTTTTATCTAAGGATATTGCATATCCTTTGCAGGGTTTAAGGCAGAAATGTATAATGCCTGATTGATTGCAAATACCACTCTGGCTGCTGCGCTCAGAAGGGATTGCAGAAAGGAAAGGGTGGGCACAGGGGTACCAGAGAGGAGCCTACTGCAACTGTCTGGGAAAGAGCTGATGATGGCCCAGGCTGGGGTGATGGAGGCAGAAAGCATTGGGAGGGTTTGAGAGGTATTTTGGAAGTAAAGTTGACAGCTCTTGATGATAAACTTGCTGTTGACTGGAAACCCAGGGTGTAGGCTCCTCACCTCCGGGAAGATTCTGGATCTGGTAGGTGTTGACTTCCCCTGGGGAAGGTCCTGTCTTCAACACCAGGACCTGGCTGGGGTCATGTCCTGTGACCAGGAAGCTCTAGGGGTGGAGACAAAGGTCAGCATGAAGAGGATTTGTGCAGGTGTGTTACTTTTGCCTGCCTAGCATCCATTTCCCTTATTTAGGGCTCCATGCCCCAAATTTCCTTTAGAGATCACTGCTCTCCTTCTCAGTCCACTTGTGGGTGAGACTGACACCCCACCAGTCCTCAGAGTGGGTCCAGAACCTGGCCTACCCAATAGGGTGACAGTGCTCTCTGACCGCTGTGACTGGTTCAGAGATGGGCATGTGACCCAAGTTGAGCCAATGGAAATCTTCCACAGGACTTTGGCTGGAGCTCTTCCAGAAGAGGCCTCTTTTTTTCATTTGTTTGTTTTTTGTTGTTGTTTTTTAGAGAGGGAAAGAAACATAAATGTGTGGTTGCCTCTTGTGAGCCCCTCACTGGGGACCTGGCTAGAACCCAGGCATGTGCCCTGACTGGGAATTGAACTAGTAACCCTTTGATTCACAGGCCAGCAACTTAATCCACTGTGCTATGTCAGCCAGGGCAAGAGGCCTCTTTTGAAAAAAAATTTATCTATCTATCTATCTATCTATCTATCTATTTATTTATTTATTTTTAGAGAGGGGAAGGGATGGAGAAAGAGAGGGAGAAGAACATCAATGTGTGGTTGCCTCTTGCGTGCCTCCTACTGGGGACCTGACCTGCAACCCAGACATGTGCCCTAGACTGGGAATTGAATTGGTGAACCCTTTGGTTCACAGGCCAGCGCTCAAACTGAGCCACCCCAGCCAGAGCAGAAAGAGGCCTTTTTTCTTATGCTGGGGTTGCTAACCTGGGGAGATGTGGTGCTGAGTTGGGGACACCTATCTCTGCCACCACAAGGAGAGAGCTCCCCCAGGGAGGAAGCTATAGTAGACTCTATCTTATCCAAATCTATTCCCTATTCCTTGCAGAACACCAGTTTTGTTCAGGGCATTAATACGCACAGCCATAGATGAGTATTAGTACTTCCCACCTCTGGCTGTATAACTCCTAGGTGAGCTTTTAAAAATATTGCTACTGGGCCCCATCCATATGTTTTGAATCAAATATAAAGGCTATTGCTTTTGCTTGTAAAAGAAATAGACGCTCCCTGGCTGATGCGGCCTGCAAAATGAAAGGTCACTGGTTCAGTCCTCATCAGGGCACATGCCTGGATTGTGGGCCAGGGCCCCAGTTGAGGGCAAGTGAGAGACAACTGATCTATGTTTCTCTCACACATCGATATTTCTCTCCGTCTCTCTCTCACTCCCTCCCTCCTCTCTAAAAATAAATAAATAAAATCTTTTTAAAAAATAGATGCAACCAGTGCTTCCTTTCTTCCCTTGTTCAGCCTGGAAAACACACATGTGCCCAGACCTAGGGCAGCCACTGGGCAGCCAGGGGTAACTGCGGGGTCACTGCCCTTGATGCCACCCAAGCTGCTGAACCAGAGTCAGCAGCTGCCTTTCTGGTTATGTTAGAAAGATAAATACCTATTTGTTTAAACAACTATAAAATGAGTGCTTGTTACTTACAGCCCAAAATATTCAGAATTACCCACAGTTTAAAACAAAGCCAAGAAATAGAATAAAGAGAAATTTATAAGTTGCCTGATTCTCAGGATCCAGGCATTCCTGAAATTACATCTGGGTTTTTCAGTCATTTGAATCAATAAGCAGCCTTTTTTGGTTTGGCCTGTTTGTGTTGTGTATGTCACTAGGAACTGGCAGAGTCCTGACTGATCCAGGGTGTTATAGGAGGGTCAGAAAGGATCCCAAGCTGTGAGTACTCACCCCCGGTGGCCACAGCTCCAGAAGGGCTTCTGCACCCTGGGTGTCCAGCTCTGGGATCTGCCACACCCCCCATGTCCTCTGCAGTCGAAGAAGTGGCTCTGGGGCCCTGAGGACCCCTAAGCAGGTCTCGCCTGCTCCATTCTCCAGTCTGGGATGTGCAGGGTCCAGGAGACCAGGGGTCAGAAGTGGGCAATTGGACACTGAGGTGGGGCCAAAGGTCAGGAAGAGGTAGCCCAGGGGTAAAGGGTCAGAAACAGGGTTCGGGGTCCTGTAGGGGGCAGCACTGGATGGAAGGGATTTCTGTATCCAGGGGTAGGAGACGGAGACCCCAGCCTCAGCAGCCCTTACCTCTCCCCATAGGTGGGGCCTGCCAAGTCCCGGCCCTCTTGCTGGGCCATCCTCAGGATACGGGAGGCCAGCAAGCCATGGCCTGGCCTCTAGCAGGAGGGAAGGATAAGGCTCAAGGCTGCTCCAGTTCACAGGGATTGTTCAAAATATTTATAACCAATATGGCAAAGACCCTGGCTAATCAGAGTGGACCCAAGTCTCCTTGCGGTGCCAGGAGTGAATTCTTTCATCGCTGGACGGCAGGATGCTCTGAGGGTCCCAGGAGGGAGGTCAGTGTGTCTTGGGGAGAGGGAGAGGACTCAAAATGACGAGGATTTACCAAGTGGTAGGGCAATATTTCAGGCTTTAACATCCAGTGTAGCTGTGTGAATGTGGACCAGCTGAGTAACAGGCCTAGTCAAAACCCAGTGCCTGCAAAAGGACTCCGCCCATAGTAAGCCCCATAAAGGACACGTTATACCACATCCCCTCCTCCTCCCTTCCCAGACCACAAAGAGGCCCTCAAATATTTTCCCCCAACATTTTTTTAATGAAAATTTTCAAACATTCAGAAAAATGGAAAGAATTTTACAGGGAACATACATATACCCGCTACATAATTCTACCAATATTTCACTCTTTGCTCTCTCACACAGCTGTTGCTTTAGCCATTTGTTTATCAACCCTCAACTCTTAACCAGGTACAGTGTCCTATAGTGGGTCACCGGCTGAGACAGGTTATTTTTGAATATTTCCCCTGTAGCACTCCCAGGAGTAGGAAACCTGGGTCCATGTGTCCAGGCACCCCACATTTATTGAGTACAAGCCCAGAATTAGGTGCTGGTGCCCTGGGGACAGAATAGGCCCTGCTCTCACAGGATCCATTCTTCTTGGAGTGGGTAGAAGAGATGGATAATAAACAGCTAAATAAATCAGCTAACCAGTTTACCAGAAGCCCAGAGTGTTAGGAAGAGGGGACCAAAGTGGGCACCCTGTCCAGTGAGGAGCAGGCAGGACCTGTTTCCCTTCCTGAGGGGTGGGCAAGGGAGACAGATGCTCAGCGGGGTCCCATGAGAGGGGCAGGAGGAGGTGGGTGGTGCTGGGCAGAGCAGAAGAGGGAGCTGCCTAATACCAAAGGAGGCAGTCAGGGGCAACAATGACAGCTGCTGGTCCCTGGGGACCCCTACCTGTTCTCGGAGGGGAGGCCTAGAGGAGCAGGAAGTGAAAGTGTTCCTCACAGAGAGGAAGCTGGGTGAGAGGGAGGTGGGGGGAAGAGGCGGGGCTGGGAGTATCTGAAATCGACCTTCCTCCCTATTTTGGGTGGCTCAGGCCTCAGGTGGCAGGGCTTTGGAGGAAGGGACCCTGGCAGACTCAAAGTCCAGGGGTACGAGCCCCAAAGCTCCCACCCACCCTGGAGTCCCCTCTGGGTACCCCTCACTCTGTTTCTCATGAGAGCCTGTAGATATCCTGGTTTCCTCAGTGGCCCAAAATCTCCCCGACTCCCTCCAGCTGCTTCCCAGTGAGCCCACAGAAAGGAAGAGCGAGGCCAGACAGCTGATTGTTAGTTTTTGTTTTTAATTTGTCTCCAATAAGCAATATCATCTGCCCACCCACACATGGAAGTGGGTCCTGAGTGAAGGTGGCCCAGTACCCACTCTGGGAGTTGGAGGCAGAGAAGTGGGAGGCCCAACCCTCACCCCCATTGGATGAGTTATGTTTGGAGGCCCCCCATCCCGCCAGGGTAGCTTAGTTTTTGACTACTTGGCCACAGGCCCCTGGGAGCAGTAGTATGGGGGCCCTGGGGCCCTGTCCTGGGACAGTTAGAAGTTTGGAGGCCCCCTGGCTCCCTGGGAGCTGTTAGAGATTAGGGAAGGTCGATCTTTGCCCCTGGGGGTGGTTAGAGGCTCTGGGCTGTTAGACAGGGCTGCCTATGCCTCAGTCCCCAGGAGATGTTAGAGATTTGCTGGGGTCAGGGGGCTGGGACCCCAGTTTTGGGAAAGAGTGGTTATGAGGTTGAGAGAATGCTCTGAGCTCCCCAGACAAGAGCTGCAAGTTAGGGAGGGCCATGGCTGGTTGGGGCTCAACTGTCCCAAGTGACCTGGGTGTCCTGCCTGGGAGACATAGCTGTCACTGGGGTTTCTCCCCCTCCGTGGTCCTGGCCTCCTCCTTGGTAGGAGGTGCTGACTTCCTGGGGGAAGCTGAAGTGGTGGGGTTGGGGCTCCCCGACTCTGACTGAGCATCTATGCTGGCATGCTCCTTCCGGACAAGGTCCTCCAGCTCCTTCTGCAGGGGATAATGTTTCCAGCGGTCAGAGGTCGCCATGCCTCATGGAGTCAGAGAACTAATGGGGCAGGGGTCCAGGGATTGGGCTTGGGGTGGGCTGGGGTGGCCCAGGCTCCTCACCTTCCATCCAAGGAGATCAGCAAGAGCCAGGCAGCCCTGGTCACAGTCACCCAGCCAGGCCACATCCCTGCAGGTGAGCGAGAGTCAGATCTCCCAGGCTCGCCCCAGGTCTCAGTCAGCTCTGCCCTGTCTGTGTGACTTCATGCCCTTCCTCCCACCTTGGACCCGTCCCTTGCAGGCCCCACCGCACACAGCAGCCCCAGGTCTCACCTGTAGGCCTTCTTGGAGTCGAAGTCCATGCCTCCTCCGAGGCCCATCATCATTCCCAGGAAGGGGTCAGTCTGCGGGGAAGAGGGAGTGTGGAGGGAGCTAGGAGGGCAGACCCTTGAGCCAGGGTCTGGGTTTGTATCCCCGCTCTGTGGCTTTGCTCGAGTGCCCTGGCCTCTCCGAATCTGTTTCCTTACCTGCGGAGTGGGGATGATCATCGAGCCCACTCCTAGGGTTGTACTGTCAGTAAGTTAATGTAGGGAAAATGCTTACAAGTGTCTGGCATGTGGTATGTTTTTGCCTTTTTGAGGAAACATCGCTCCCCAGGAAGGAGCCCAAAGCTGGTGACTCTGCTGTCACTGCCAAAGGCCCTGGCTCCAGCTCACTCTGACTCATCAGTCCCAGCAAGTGCAACATCCCTGTTTTGGCTTCAGTCACTTTGAGTTGGGGCTTTGTCACTTGCTCAGAAGGGTCCTGAATGACCCAGAAAACTATAGAATTTCAGAGTTGGGGCAGCCTACAGCTTGATCCCTCCAGATTCTGGAATCCGTGGTCCTGAGCCTCAGGGGTCTAAACTATTGGGTTCCCTCTGGACCCATCCTGAGGCAGGAAGAGAAGAATGCGGGGGGGGGGGGGGCGCATGAATAAAAGCTCACTCACCTGGCCAGTTTTTTCCTTGTTGATGAGCAGGCGTGGGGTAGAGAGTGGTGCCCTGTGGGGAGGGTGGACTGAGTGGTGAGGACCTGTTCTGGCTCCCCCAGGCCCCAGCATCCTCCCAGCCCTGACCCCCAACCTACTTGCCGATGAGGGATGCAAAGGGCTGCACCTGCAGGGAGGTGCCCATGATGATGAGCAGGTCGACCTTCAGGAAGTCCTGTGAAGGAGGAGTGTCGTGAGGCCTCCGGGACTGGGTGGCCATCTCCGTCCCCACCTCACCACAAGCTCACATACAGCTAGTTGGGGAAGTGACCCTCCCCAGGGCAGGGCCCAGGCTGTTCCACGTGGGCTGAGCACAGGGTGGTGGCAGGAATACTTGCCGACTGAATGCAGGAGAAGAAACGTGCGGGGAGGTTCTCGCCAAAGAACACGATGTCTGAGGTGGAGACAGACGGACAAACAACACAGAACAGAGACAGTGGATGGGGGTGTCAGAGAAGGGGAAGGAAGGGGATGAGAACAGGCAGGAGCAGGAGGCAGACCTTGGAGCTGTGTGGGAGTGCGGGGCAGTAGGGACAGGCCAGGGTGCGGAACCCTCTCCCCGGAGAGAGGGAGACCAGAGGTGGGGTGGATGGCTAGGGTGGTCTTCTTGGGAAGGATTAGTGGGGAGAGGCGAGGCGGGGTTCCCGGTCCAAACTTCCCTTGGTTGGTCCCAGGCCCCATGGCTCACCGGGCTTCACCACGCTCTGACACTTCTCACACTTGGGAGTCACCTCGGAGAAGATCTTCTCTGGGCGTGGAGAAGGGCAAGGGGAGAAGGTGGTGAGAGGCTCTGGGCTGGGGGCAGCCGGCCCTGCCACCCCCCTGCCCTTTCCTTCACTCTCCACACGAACACACCTTAGTCACCGGGGAACCTCCTGCGGGATCCCATCTGCTCAGAACGGACCCCCTTCTCAGAAAGCTGCCCCTCCCCTCCTCCTTGCCTCAGGAGCCCAGGGGGCGCTCCCAGCACCAGGCTTAGCTACTGAATGGAAGAATAAACCAATGAGCAGACAGTTGTTCCTAATAGGGGCCACTGGACTCCCTACTCCCCAACCTGGGGAAGTGGGAGCGAAGCTCTGCCTGTGGGCAGCCCCATTTCCTTCCTCCTGGGTCAGAGAGGCCTGGTGGTCCCAGGCCTGGCGGCAGAACAAGAGGGAAGAGTATGCAGATGGCCCTGGGGTGGGGAGAAGTCTTTAGGCGCAGCCGCTTCCCTGCACTTGGGTCCTGTGACTGGCCCCCCGTCCCCCACACACACCATCCTTGTCACAATCATGCTCCTTGTTGTTTGATTCAATAAACTTGAAACGTATTCTGTCACTTGCGACCCACAGAATCCTAGCTTGCTCATTCAATTATTTACTCATTTCTTCAACAGATATTTAGAGCACTGTTTTAATGCCTGTCATTTACTTAAAAACATTTCTGCATTGACATTATGCTGTTTTATGGGTGCTGCACATGATATTGCTGTAAGCGAACATAACGGGGTAATGTTAATTGTGTATCACCCCCAGCTGTGTGGCTGGGCTATTCAGGCCTCCTCACCCCAGGGGCGGTCAGCTGGTGTTTTGTCAAAAAGGCCACACTCCGGAGGCCCTCCTATAAGGGCTGTCCTTATCTCCCACGGACACCAGAGGCTTTGTGATGTCAGCATAAAGAATACAAGAAACGGGTTTCCAGGGTAAAATAAGTGACTTCTTAATCAGCACAATGGATGTCAGAAATAGTCTCTTGCTGGCATTCGAGAAATGTGTATTGGCTGGGGTTTTTTCTCCCTCTTTTGAACGCCCTGTCCCGACATGAACAGGGACTGTGACTTCAGCAAGCCCTGTAGTCTGCACCCTTGGGGGCAGCCCCAGCCTCCTGCCCTCACGAGGCCTGTGTCTGGCTTTGCACTCTATCGATTCTGCTCGTCCAAAACTCACGGGCTGAATCCTGTGCTTCTCGTGCAAGTGCTCTCCAACATGGTCATCATAGCAGGTATGGCTTTCTACATTTAAGCTAATAAAAAATTTAAAATTCAGTTCCTTGGTCCCACTAACCACGTATCAAGTGCTTAGCAGTCACAAGTAGCAAGTGGCTGCCATATCGGACAATGTTGATAGGGAAGGTTTCCCTCACCTCAGAAAGTTCTGATGGACAGTTCTGCTCTTCTCAGAGCTTAGACCCACCCTGGCTGGTGTGGCTCAGTGGACTGAGTGCGACCTGTGAACCGAAGGGTTGCCGGTTCAATTTCTAGTCAGGGTACAGGCCTGGCTTGCAGGACAGGTCTCAGGTTGGGGGTATGTGAGAGGCATTGAGAGATCAATGTATCTCTCACACATCGATGTTTCTCTCCCTCTCTCCTTCCGTTCCCCTCTTTATAAAAATAAATAAGTATTTAAAAATTAAAAAAAAAAAAGAAGTTAGCTCTGTTTGCCTTGATGCGCACCTCATGTATGATAGCGTAGGAGCCCCTCAAAGGACAGAGAGCGAGGGTTTCATGACCTCACGGAATGGGCTGTGTGACCATTTGGGACCCTCTCTGCTAACTCATTCCTCTTTGTGTGGCTGAATTTGTTCTGGAGCTTGCATCTGCCATATCCTGTCTGTGAGCTAGTGTTGGAAGCAATGAATCTGTTACCTCAAATCTTTGGAGGCTGCCATTATCTACTAAAAGGAGCCACAGAGCTGTGCAGGATAGAACCAGTGTCCACTGGCTGGAGGCCCTGTCCCCAGCTCTGAGAGGTGGACAGTGGGTAGGAGGCCTGCCCTCGTGGATGGCCCCTAGCCCCCCACCTTTCATCCAGCTGAGCGTGTACTCCTGCCTGCAGAGGGGGCCGACGCAGTGCGATGTGTGGAAGGTGCCGTGGGCCTCCACTAGGTCCTCGGGCTCCAGGCCTGCCACGCGCTCCAGGGTGTCTATGTTCTGGAAGAAGAGAGAGAGGGTAGAGGGTCAGGAGTGAACCACATGTCTCAGGGGCAGAAGGCAGAGCATGGAGTTGTAACCATGCGAAACCAGTGGGACAGGGAGAGAGAGAAAGAAGGAAGGCAAAAGCAAGCGGCAGAGTGTATCTGAAAGCTTGTTCATTCTGATAGTGCCACTAAAAGGGTAAAAGTCATGGATGCTTCCATGCAGGGGCCCAAACTCAAATGTATGTGGGTCCATACCCATGGCTATCACCCAGACCATAGGATGTTTTTCTGCAAATTCAGGCCACTTTCCTTCTATTTTTCAGATTATTTGTTTTGTCAGAACCACATACTTTAGTGCCACCTACCAGAAATCTGTTGAAATAATGTACAAATATACAATGTTTCCACCGTAACTGGAGAGGAGCCCCCCAAATGTGGCATCTGGCGGGGGCTGCACAGCTCTAAATGTGGCAGCCCTAGCCAAGCATTAAAAGAAATAAAAAAAACTCAGGAGGGACTATTTGGTTTTAACCACACCGTTTTCCTATTTTGCAGTCAGGTTTCTTACTCTGGTCTGTTTCACAGATGGCATCTTAACCTGTATTCCTTTAAGACAGAGATACTTTCCTTATTGACCAAACAGGAATATCCTCTTCCACATAGACATTTGTGCTCTCTCATTTTTCTCTAAACACGCAGTCCCTCTGGAGTGGTGTTTGTTTGCCCATGAGGCAGGTACTGATGGAGGAGACTGGCAGACGTTACAGAGATGGCCCATCATGTGCGGCCCATAGCTGAACTGACAAGGTTTCCTGGAGATTCCATGAACAACTGAAAGGTTCCCTTTCACGGGAAGATGGCCCCAGCTGCCTCCTCTGCTCCCTGCCCGCAATCAGCTTATCCCCAAAACATGCAGACAAGAGTCACTGTTTCCAGACTCTCCGCAGCTTTCCCCTTCCTCTTCTCTACTAGAAATCCTAGTTTTGCCTTTGTTACTTGATTCAGCCTTCTACCGACTCCCTTGCTTAAGCAGTGTGCATGCAAATAACTCAAGAGCGTGAAGAACTGCCTAACTGATCCTCTGTTATTCTTTGACACCACAAGAAACCACAAATGAAAACAAAGAATGAGGCCAATCTGTATGTATTGATATGAAATGATCTCGCCAAGATGTTAAAAAGCACAAAAACACAAAAGCAGTGTGTATAGGATGTGAAAAAGTATATTTGAATTTGTGTATCTGCTTGCCTAAGTATAGAGTAACCTCAAAGGAAACACAAGAAGGAGTCAGCAGCAGTAGCCCGCAGGGAGTGCAGCTGGGGGCTTGGCAGTCTGGCCCAGGAAAATTCCATACTGAAAGACAAGCACTGAACTCAAAATGATACAGAACAACTGCCCTGTGGTCCTGGAGCGTGGCAGCAAACAGGCAGTGGAGAGGAGGGGGGCCCTGGGCAAGGGCGGGCCATTCCTAGAGTGGGCAGTGGCCAACCAACCCCAGCCCACCGTTCTCCCTGGGAAAGCCATCCAGGGTGCAGCTCTTCCCATTTTCAGGAGGAAACTGAAGCCTGGATTTTCACCTGAAACCTCCTGATTTGTTCCCTTTTTGTTTCAAAACGTCATGTCCCTGGTTGACACATCACCAACGGCAGCTTTTAAAAAGCATGAGGATAATGGATGTTTCTCATTCATATCAGTGTTTCTCTTCCTCTTCCTCCCTTCCCCTCTCTCTAAAATTAAATAAATAAAATCTTAAAGAAAAAAAAGGCCCTAACTAGTGTGACCCAGTTGGTTGGGTCTCATGCCACAAAACATATCCGGTCAGGGCACATAACCCGGGTTGCAGGTTCGGTCCCCAGTTGGGGTGCAAACGAGAGGCAGTTGATTGATGTTTTTTTCTTTTCTTACGTAGATGTTTCTCTCCCTAGCTTTCTCCCTCCCTTCCGTTCTCTCTAAAAATAAATAAATAAAACCATAAAAAAATGAAATAAAAGTGTGGCTGTGCCTTACCAAAAGGCGAGCTGAGGTTGGAGATCGATGAGTTTGTGGTGACAAAGAATTTCCTTCCTTCAGCTGCCCAGTTAAAAGATTTTCATGACAAGTATAAGAGAAATAAAGACAGGCAAATAAACTGGTTATTTTAAAAAAGTGCAAATGCCATATATATTTAAAAGAATGTTTTGCTGTGGTGATCACAGTTACCTAAATGAACAGGACAACTGTTCTCACGTTCGAGTGGATACATGTGCCTTGGGATTAAAAATAGCATGACACATGCTTCAGAATTGCTGTGTCATCACAATTCAGAAAGAAGTGAAGACAACATGTTCCAGAAAACTGGGTCAGTGCTCAAATGGTGGCTGAGATCAAAGAAGAGGGTGCCAAATTTGAAAAAAAAGAAAAAAAAAAGGTTTTCTGAGATGTGAGAGTGGAAAGATTTTTTCCTCCTTTACCTATTTTAGGTAGTATGCCATTTTGAGTATTATGTGTAAATGTCATGCATTAAATATTGCAATTGGAGGGGAGAATACCTGCAGAGTACATTTCGACCCCAGAATGTATTCGTGCTGGCTCTCATGTAAAAACAGTGGGCAGTCAGTGTGCTTTTACAGTCAAGGGCGGGGTCTTTGCCCTGGCAGGTCTGGGAGGTGAGCCCGCTGATCAGTCCTAATGGGCCACTTCGCCTCAGGCCTGGACTCCTCATGCTGCAACCCTCATACTGTCTGGTGAGTTTAAACATTGTCTATATTCTGCTCCTGAGGCACAAGTCTAGACTCCTTGTCCAACCATCTGTCCACATCTCCACGTGGGTATCTCAGCTTCCATAGACCTCAAAGCAAATTTCCCTTCTGTCCCCCGCCCTTCCAACCTCCCACCATCTCAGTAAAAAGCAGCAGGTGCTCAGGCTAAGAGCTGTCCCGTCATCCTGACCCCTCTCTCTCATGAATCATTTAACATGCAGTTCATTAGCAAGTCCTGTTGGTTCCCCTTTCAAAATGGATTTATAACCCACCCCTTCTCCCTCAATGGTCCGCATCCTGGCCCAGTCTCCATCCTCTCCTGCTTGGACCATCATGGCGGCCTCTCCTCTGTTCTCTGCAACCCTTCCCCACTGTGCCCACAACCTAGCCCCTACAAGCAGCCAGAGGGACTCCTGGTCTTGCCCCTGCCCTGCTCAGAACCCTCCTGTGGTACCGTCTCACTCTTAGTAAAGGACAGCGCCATGGCCCCCAAGGCCCCGCATGGTTTAGCCTCGTCACCTCCCTGGCCTCGTCTTCCCCATTCTCTCCTACTACTGTCCTCTTGCTTACTCAGATCTAGCTTATTGAACGTGCCAAATACAGTCTCTCTCAAGATGTTTGCACGAGCTGTTTTCTGTGCCTGGAACTCACTCCCCCGAGATAGTCCCCTGGTTCCCTCCCTCCCTTCCTTCAGGTCTTTGTCTAAATGTCCCCTTTCTCAGTGAGGCCTTCCCAATACCTGGTTTACAACAATACTCCACTCCCCAACCACACACAAAGAGTTTTGGATTCCCCTTTCCTCCTTAATCCTACTCCACAGAACTCTCACCATCTGCCACACTGGATAAGCTACTTACTCATCTTGTTCACTGCCTCACGCCACATTAGAGTGTCAGCTTTAGGAGGGCAGGGATGTCTGTTCTGTTTGCTGCCAGCAGGGCCTGGCACTGGGTTGACAATCAGTAAACATTTGTGACAGAAGTTGACAAACAGGGATGCCAACAGGGCCAAGGTGAGAAGTCCATGAAATCATGCATGGAGGATACTTGGCTTCAGGTAAGCTGTTTGTATCATGTCTGAGCCACCTCCCATGGATAAAACTGACCCTCTGGGAGGAAAGGTCAGGTTTATCCTGAGCCTGGGCTCCTCCTAGAAGGTGACTGACCCCTTCCCCATCACACCATCAGCTCTAGGCACGAGCATCTGCCCCTATTTGCAAAATATGGACCTACAAAGAATTCACCCTCCCCCTGGTGGCAGCTTCTGAGGTTGCAGGCTCCAAAAGGCCAGGTGCAGCGAGGAAATACTATAAGGCACTCTTACCCCTGGCTGGTGTGGCTCAGTGAATTGAGTGTTAACCTGTGAACTGAAAGGTCATCAGTTTGATCCCCAGTCAGAGCAATTGATTGATGTTTCTCCCCCTCCCTTCCCCTTTCCCTAAAAGTAAATAAAAAATAAAATCTTAAAAAAAAAATAGAATACCTCTTTATACTCATGTGTTCTCTATTTTATAATTTTGGGTTCGGAAGTATAATTAATAGCATGTATGATATAATTTCAATACATAATCATAAAACAAGGGTAGAGGCACAAACATTTTTTACTGTTAGGGGTGCGAGATCCCAGAATTCTTGCTGACTAGTCCAGGAGCCAACATGGCAAGCTGTCCTTGCCTGGCTACTCCAGGGTGAGGCATTTGGCTCACCACCTGACCTGGCACACTTGAGGCCTTTGTGCAAATTATAAAAAGATGCCCCTTTCTTAAGATACTATGTCCACCAGTTAGGATACTGTCACAGTATATGGATTTTGTTAGATCGAGTCACTCTGGTATCATCTGCTAGAAAACCCTAACATATATGAAATCTATGGTATACATGGTGTCCACCCCCTCAGACACAAGGTCCTTTCTCAGTACACATGGGATGGCCCTGAGAGGACTTCCCCGCCATGTCACCACTGACCTGACAGCGTGAAGCTACTCTGGCCTCTGCCTTATAGAAGGGCAAACTGAGGCTGAGAGAGGGGAAATAACTCACTGCAGGGCATGTGACAGAGAAGCAGCAGCCTGAGCTCTTGGCACTGAGGCACCAGGTCACACGCAACCCACCCTCTTCCTCCTCGGATGCCCACTGTCCCGCCTACCTGAGTGTAGCAGCGCAGGAGCAGCCCTTTCTCCTTCAACAGGCGGATGAAGTAGTGACACAAGGTTGGCTGCAGGAGAGCAATCAGAACAGTGCTGACAGTAACACAGAAGACCGTGTTTTACCTCATGGGATCACCACATCGACCTTGTGAGGCAGGGACCATCATTAACCCCATAAGGGAACTGAAGCACAGGGAGGCTGACTGTCTTGCCAAAGTCGCACAGCCACCAAGTTGCAGAGTTGGGATTTGTACAAAAGCAGCCTGGCTCCAGAGTCTGGGCTTTTACATGTATTGTCAACTCATTTAAGCCTTACAACAACACTTTTCATATAATATCATCAGCTTCATTTTATAGATGGGGTAACTGAGGCTCAAGATCAAAGGAGCAGGAAATACAGGATTAGGCGTCGGACCCTGGCAGTCTCGGCCCAGAGCCCATGTACTTCTTGACCATATGATGTTTGTTTAAGTGGTCTTTCCCATGCCTGGTGTCTACCAACCTTCTCTGTTCCCCTCAGCAAAAAAAAGAGCTCACCTTGAATTGCCCAGGATACAGCTCCTTGGCGAGAGCAAAGAAGGGCTCTGGATGTTTCTGTGGAAGAGACAGCGAAGGGCAGATGGACACCCAGATGTCTCTGGTGAGAGGAGAGCACATGACCCCATTCCTCCCTGACCCCGTCACTGCACACATTCCTTCCTGCACATACCTTGAAGTAGCCAATCTCAAAGATGGCCTCCGGGTAGGGAAGATGGTACTTCTGCAGGTTGGCATAGAGGCCCGTGGATGGGGAGCGGAAGTCGGGGATGCCCGCGGCTAGGGGAGGAGGGGCAGGGAGCAATCCATCAGGGACTCGGCCCCCATCTGTACCACAGTGACCCTCCCAAGTGAGGGGGCCCATACATGGCTCCCCCCAGCTCCTAGATGGGGCTCCCCCAAACTGGGGGGCGGCTATTGGGGGAGGGGACACTTACACGTGGAGATTCCAGCTCCCACCAAACAGATGACTCTGCGACCTGAAAGAGAGGAGTTTATGCATCTCGTGACACAGTTTGCTCAGCCCCAAAATAACCACCCATCACAGCCGCTGACACTGGTCACTCAGTGCCAGACACTGGGGCACACATTTACAATGCATAAATGGTCCTCTCAACCATCTTGAGGTGGGTGGTAACATTCCCATTTTACAGATCACCACTTGAGAAAACAAGTCTCAGAGAGGGGAAGCAGTCACACAGTTGAAAGAGCCAGGATGAGGACAAAGAATCTACTGTTTGAAATTATACCAACTTAGACAGTCAAGAAAAAGCCCCTAACTTAGAGAGAAGTTTCTGCCCCTAATTAGAGCTAGACAAAAACATGAGATCTTAATGAGGAGGCTGGGGTTGGAGGTTCTCCCAGAAGAGCTACAGGTTATTGTAACATTCTCTGGCAGAACTTCATCTTTTGGACACAATACTGAAAGACCATCTATTTCTAGCATATTACACACATTCCTTTCTGCCATAATCAAACACACATCAGCCACCTGAGGTATGGCAATTTTCAGGTGAAGACCAAAGACTTGCCACGCTCAGCCCAGACCTAATGAACAGGACAGTGGATGAGGGCTTCAAGTCCTGGCTCTCCTGCTCACTAGCAGGGGGTCTCAGTTCAGATCACCAGTCTGACTTCACCTTCCTGCTCTATTAAATGGGCATGCAGTACTGACCTTGCAGAGCTGTTGAGAGAATGAATTTACTCGTGTTAGCTTCGATCTGTGCCCCCTGAGCCAACACTGTATGGCTGATCCTTGAACAATGTGAGGGTTTCCTAGAGATAACACTGTCCCCACCCTGGCAGTTGAAAATTGGTGTATAACTTTTGACTGCTCCAAAACTTAACTATAGGCATAGAGGCCCGTGGCTGAATTCTTACCTATAACATGAAGAATAATTAGCCCTGGCTGGTGTGACTCAGTGGATTGACTGCCAGCCTGTGAACCAAAGGGTCGCAGGTTCAATTCAAAGTCAGAGCACATGCCCGGTTTAAGGGCCAGGTCCCCAGGATGGGGCGCTCGAGAGGCAAGTGAACATTGATGTTTCTTTCCCTCTTTCTCCCTCCCTTCCCCTTCTCTAAAAATAAGTAAAATCTTTTTAAAAAAGTAATTAATATATATCTATATGCTATATGTATTATATACTGTGTTCTTACAATGAAGTAAGCTAGAGAAAATAAAATTAGGAAAATCATAACAGCAAATACACTTACAGTATTTATTGAATACTGTTTATATTGCATATAAATGGACCTATGCAGTTTATATCTGTGTTGTTCAAGGGTGAACTGTATATGTGTTTGTTATTATTCTTTGAGCCAATCGTACTAAACTTCTTGAGACCCATAATTTGTATACCTATAAGTGCTTTATTCCCCCATTTTACCAACTTTCAGAAAAGTGGATGGGAAGACCTGGCAGGGGTTGAATCATTCCACTATAGCCCAGTTGCCTCTTCAGCCGCTGGCTGGCAGAAGCTGTGCAGGACCCTGGCATCTGCCCGTCAGCTGATGGACAGACACAAGCAAAGCCCTGTGAACCAGGGGCCTCTGGGGCGTTCTGTCCAAAGGAGGGCAGCAGGGGTGACAAAGGCTGAGGCCTGCCACAGCCTTAGCCCTCAGCTCTCATCTCAGGGATGCCAGCAAACAGGGCCTGGCCGGACCCAGTGGGGGCTACATGGGAGGGAGCCTCTGTTGGGATTCAGGGGCGCTGAGGTGGAGTCTTGACTGTGCTTCTAAGCAGCAGGGTGACCCTGTACTAAGTCACAGCCTCTCTGTGCCTCAGTTTTCTCCTCAGTCATGATCACTACTGTAATGACCTCACAGATAAACTGTGGAGATCAAATGAGAGGAGGTCTGTGAAATGCATGGCTCAGTGCTTGGCAAATAGTGAGGGCTCAATTAACTGTTATTATTTATTATTATCACCTCATAGGCCCTCTCATGAGCCAATTATCCTAAAATCCAGGTGTAGGAGGACAGAAGGAACAAAAGCTTTGTAGCCACTGCCTGCGTCCTCTGGGGCCCACCCAAGCCAGAAGCTGGCTGCAGACAAGCTGCCTGGCCTGGCCAGGAGCAGGAGGCTCAGGGTGGCGGGTCTGGCTGCCCGAGGAGGGAGCCGGCAGCAGCTGGAGGACAGGGAAACTGGAGAAGACGTCTTCAACAAAGGGCTGTTCAGGACCCTTAAAGGGTTGATTGTTGTAGTGGAGGACTGCCGAGGGCTTGGATTCTCAGACTCTGGTGACCTCAACTCCCAGCAAGAAATATAAACTACATGGTGACCCAGTAAAGGAGGCACCTACACACTACACCTGAAAGAAGCTTCCTGTAACAATTAATAATCAAAGGGAACACTTACACAGCTCTTGTTATGTTCCAGGTCCTGTCCTAGGCATTTACATATTTATTGTTTTAACCCCCCAGTAACTCTGTGCGGTAAACACTATTATTATCATTCTATCAAACAGGTCTGACCCATCAGAGCATAGCCCTTAGTTCAGCAATGAAGACATAACCCAGGTCTGGCCAATCAGAGACAATAGTGATTTGTTTGGGGTAAGAACATGACCCAGCCTGGGCCAACTGAAGCAAATTTCTGCTTTTTTGCTTGAACCACTGGGAGAAAGATGCTCTCTTCAGTTGGAGCTGTGAGGCTGGTGGAACTTGCATTTGGAGCTGCCAGGAGCTACCTTTACTTTACCCTAACACAAGAGAAAGCGGCACCAGAGATGGCTGAGATTGTCTGACAACACGGAAGCCCCTGGACCCAGGCTTCAAGCTAGATTTTAGTTAAGGGGTCAAAAGACTTTTTTTTGGCATAAACCAGTTTGAATTGGGTTTCTTGTTACTTGTAGACAAAAGGTGTGACTAGTTCAAGTGGCTGGGGATGAGAGGTCAGCTGGGGCCAGGTGGGGAGCAATGGCCCAGAGCAGGTAGCGGAGGACTTACAGCGCTCACTGAGCATGTAGCGGGCCACCCCTTCCAGGGTTAGGCTGTCCAGCAGACGCTCCTTCTGGGTGCCCAGGCCCAGCGTCTGGGAGAAGAAATTCCGCAGGAAGTCCACTGGTTGAAGAGAGACCGCAGTGCGCATTCAGCCCCAGTGCTCTGAGGCCCAGAGAGCCCTGCCCCATCCCAGGGATCTCCTGCCTTCCCACAACTCAGGCTCCATGCCTGACCCAGACACGGGCCTCCAGGAGTTGGCACCGCACCCATTATCACATACCGGAATGTCGCCCTTGATGGAGGTGGGGGGTATCGCCCAGGCCCCTACCCTAAACCACTCCCCCTCCCCCCACAGAACCAGGCTTCTAAGGATGGTACTCACTCTCTGCTTCTCCACCAGCTGCTCCTTCCTCAGTGTCTGAATCCGAGTCCTGGAAGGGGTGGAGGTGGGGTGGCCAGGCCCAAGAAGTGGGGTTAGGGAGTGGGAGGTGGGTGACACCCGGTTTGGGGAAAAGGCTCTGGCTGGGAGGTGGGCCCAAGGAAGTGAGGGGCGGTGGAGGGGCAGCTCTGGGGGCCAGTGTGTGGGCTCTGGGACAGGGTGCCAGCACTGGGGACCTGGCCTGCCACTCCCAAGGAGAATAATTTCATGCAAGTGACTGCTTTTCTGAGTCTCAGAGCGCCACACCTTGGAGATGGAGCTCCAAGGGCACCCCTCTAAGGGGGCTGTTGTGAGATGAAATGAGTAACCTATGTGAGGTGCTCAGACAGCACCCGGCAGGGTAAGTGCTCAGGAAGTGCTGGCTATTGTTATTTCATGCCAAGTTCACATCCTCCCCTTGCATCCCCTCTTGCTCCCTGTAGCCTGTGCTCTCCTCACCTAAGTCACTCCATAATAATGGGATAATGCCAGTGAAAACACTTCAGCCTTCACCCTGTGGCCGGCAGCCCTCCTTCTGGAAGCCTCAGATACCACCTTTCAACGCCTCCCTCTCCTGTATTGACCCCTCCTCTTGGCCAAGCTCCCAAATGCAGGTATTGGGACTCTGTCCTGGGCCCTCCCTGCTTTTTCTCTCCACCTTCCCTGGGGGAGCTGCCTCATCCATGCCAATGGCCTTGGCCCAGTCACTGATGATGCCACCCACCTCTCTGACCCAAGGTTCCCATGGCCATCTGGATGCCTCCCTCTAAGGGACCCCAGGCCTCTCACTCCCACTGTGTGCCAAATTGGCCTCAGCATCTCCCTCAAGCTTGCTCCTCCTCCTGGACACCATCTCAGCATGGCCTCCAACTCGCAGTCTGTCAGGCGCCTCCAGCCCCGCTCCCCTGACCTCCTGCCATAATGTGTCCCCTCCTTAGGGGACACATTACCCAGGGTACACCTGGTCCAGCCTGTACTCTCCCCTTGGGGATCTTGTCTCAGCCTCCTACCTAAGCTCCCAGCCTCAGTCTCCACCTCTGATCTACACCTCTACCCTCTATGTGATGGCCTGTCCCCTCCACTTCAAGTCTCTTCTCTTTGGTGTCTCCAGTCTATTCATCTCATCACAAACATCTACAAGGTTCACCATGATTTTAGCTCCAAGAGGCAGGGGTTTTCTGTGTTCACCACAGGGTGTACAGTGCGAAGAATAGGGTCTGGTGCCTGGCAGAGCTCCAGAACTACTCACCACTGAATGAATGAATACCTGTGTCTCAGACCAGGGCTGGGCCCTACAATGGCTCTGGTAAAAAAAATTCTTACCGACTCATTCTCCTGCTTAAAACCCCTCCAATAACCTCTCTCCTCCATCGCTCACTCTCTGGTTCCAAGTCTTTTTGAATAGGAACCTTCCTTCCAAACAAATTTACATTTTTATTGCATTTTAGATTACATAAGCTGTACAAAAAGCTTGACATTTAGACAAGTTATAACTTGGGGGACCTGCCTTGTAATTCCACCCCTTTCCCCTGAGATAACCACTATTAACAGTACAATGGTAATTTCTTGAGATTTTTTTCTCTGAGTATATATTATTTTCCCAGAAATGGGTCATACCATTACACAATCCTGCACCTCGCATCTTCTGCAGAACTAGATACTAGAGACCCACCTCATTCTTTTAACTAGCTACAACATGTTGCATTCATTGTAAGGAGGCCCAATAGTTCATTTAACCATCTACTGACAGCCACTTGGGCTGTTTCCAGTTTTGCCCCATTATGAACAATGCTGCAATTTATGTCTTCAAATCTCTCTTTGGGACTGAGGATCCCTTATAACATTAAACCTTTTTCTCTGACACTGGCCCTGTTTGGGAGCCAGGCAACGGAGAAGCCCTGGCCTGACAAGAAGCTCTTGTACCCTCTGCTGTGCACCTGGGAGGTGCTTTAATCACAGCTTCTGTGTTGTCTACATCTGAACAGCAATTTCACTGCTGGGGAGAGGGGCTAGCATTCTTCAGGCTGCAGACAGTGAGGTTCTGTGGAAGGCCTCAAGGGCCCGGCCCAGCATGTGGGAGAAACTTGGCCTAAGCAGGAACTGAAGATGCTCACAGGCCCTTCAAGCCTCTCTAAGGCAGCCTGTCTACCTCTCCCTGAAGCATCTAGAAGGCACTGGGCTGTGTGCTGTGGATTTCTCTGGTCTTCTGAGTGATAGAGGACAGGATACTTAACAACTCTGCCTCAAATTCCTCACCTGTAAAATGGCCACAATAGGCCTTGACCCCCACAGGAATGCGGGGAAGATGAAATGAGATGATGCCTATAAAGCACCAAGCAGACTCCCCAGCTGAATAAGCAGAGTACGCAACTCAATAAATGCTGGCCATGCGTACAATTAGTTGACCACCCCCAGCCACAGCCTACTAAACCCATCACACTCTTCCACACTCCCAGGTCTTTGCAGTAGCTGTACCCTCTGTGTGAAGCACAACTTTTCATCTTGTCTAAGAAAATTCTAAGTAATTCTTCACGTATTACAAATGCATCTACCTCAATCTGACTCCTAGGCTAGCCCGTGGATTCCTCCAGGAAAGGGACTGGGTGGAATCTCTGTGACCCCACAAAGTTCCTTCTGGGCTCAAACAGTGAGCTACTTTCATAATCACTTTCATGTAAGATCATTTTCTAGTCACTTGTCCATGGGATCCATGGGTTCGGGGACCAAGTTGGATGCCTGTCTCTTCCAGGACCAGCATAAATGAAGCTCAGAAGGGACTGAGGCAGTGGGTGGGGCAAGGAAAGAGGAAAGTTCAGGAGGGCAGGCCTGGGCTTGAGGCTGCACACCCTTTTCTGACAGTCCTCAGAATCCACCATTCCCCAGGAGGCTGAACTGGGAGGTGGGGGCAAGGGATTGGAGCTGTGTGCTGAGGGCCCTGGGGTAACTCTCCCTTTTGTCACCTCCCCCCAGGGGAGTGGGGTAGGAACAGGTCCATCTCTCTCCTTCCCTCCACCCTTCCCCCATCTCACCTGAGCCTCCTGCACCTTCCCTGCCTGGGTCTCCAGAGGGTCAGAGGCTAGGGGAGGAGGGGGAGCAGATGTGGTTACAGTGGGGGGAATGGTTAAGGGGCTATCAACGGCTTCAAAGCAGGGGGATGGAGGCAAGAAGACCCACCAACCTAGTTACACTGGGGTACAGGGTGGTGGTAAAAATGGAGTAGAGTGAGGGAAGGGATGGGGAAAAGCAGAGTGGAGGGTGCTGGGAGGAGAGGTGGTCAGTGAGGGACAAAGGGGCTGAGATGAAGGTTTAGGAGAGGGAGGAGGAAGTAAAGGATACAGGGCATGGAGGAAGCCTTCGGAGGAGTTAGGACGACATATAGTGTCTGAGTGTATGTGCAGGGAGGGCTCGGTTTACAAGCAAAGGTAAGTTTAGAAAGGAAGAGAGAAGGTAAGAGATATTTGGACTGGAAGTGGGTGTGGGAGAGGAGGTGCGATGGGGATGGTATGTTTAGGAGAGGCATAAGAACTAGAGGGAAGAGATAGGAAGGGACACCAGGGGTGCCTTAGCATCCTACAGTTCCCCCTAACAACCAGGTACCCTTGGCAACCAGGACCGCAGCAACTTAAGCCCTTAGCAACGAGGGTCCTTGGCAACAAAGGCTAGAGAAACACGCGATCATTAGTAACTTGGGCGACATGTCAAACGGCCCCTTAAAATATCGCGACCCAGAAACCCACCAGCCTAACAATACGGATCACCTAAAAACGGCTGCCCACACCCCAACCCCACTCCTCCTACGTGCAGCCCCGATCTACTGTCCCACCACGTCCGCCCTCGGGCCCCGGGGCCTGCAGCCCTGAGCCAGGCCCCGGCGCGGCCCGGCCCGGCCCGACTTTCCCACCGAGGACCCCGACTCACCGTCTGGCTCGGCCATGGGAGCGGGGCGGGAGTCCTCGGGGCTGTCACCGACTTCTCTGTCCCGTGACAGCACCGGAAACAGTAGGGGCAGAGATGGGGGCCGAGATAGGGCAGAGAACTACAACTCCCAGCAGTCAGCGCGGCTGCATACACGCTTTCGCACAACGCCCGGCGCACGTCTTTCTTAGGTAAGGAAAAAAAATAGGCGAGGTCCGGACTACGAGTCCCAAAGTGCCCCGCGCTGGGAGCCATGCTGATAAAGGGTGCCCGGAAAATGTGGAAACAGGTAGAGAGCTGTAGTCCATATGAATACTCTCATTGGCCCGGTGTAGTACGGAGGCGGGGCGTGAGCGATTTAGCCTACTCTGATTGGGTGGATTAGGGGGCGTGTTGGGGAATTTCCCGCAGGGCGGAAGCTCCAGAGCTTCAGGTTTATCCCAGCGAAAGGCGGGAGTCCGCGCAGGGCCCCCTGAGGCTTCGGGGGCTATGGCCGGGGTCGCATGCTTGGGGAAAGGTGTGGATGCCGACGAATGGTGCGACAGTGGCCTGGGCTCTCTGGGTCCAGACGCAGCGGCTCCCGGAGGACCGGGACTGGGCGCGGAATTGGATCCGGGGCTGTCGTGGGCGCACCTCGTCTTCAGCTACGTCACTGAGGATGGGGACACGTGAGTGAACCTTAGGCTGCCAAACTGGGCCCTAAGCTACGACATCTGATTTTGTATTAGCCTCTGATCCCGGCTTCCCAATCTCTCACTCCTTAATCTGATTTCTGATGCTTGACTTCCTGACCTCTAACCCACAAGTCCTAACCTTTAATAAAACCAATTTCCTACCCGACTTTCATCCTAATCCAATAATTTCTGACCTCCTTTCTTGTTCTCAGAGTTCCACATGCTTTTCCATTGATTCCCAAATTGGATTTGACCTTCCTGACCCCAGTCCTGAGACTTTTATTGGAACTGTAGCTCACGCAGGCATCTGCTGACCTCTTGACCTCCAAAAATGTGTATGGTCTTTGATCTTTCACTTCTGATTTGTGAGCGTTACATCTTGATTTCCGAAAATGACCTTTGGCCTTTGACACAAGATCCCACCTTCTGAATACTGATCTTCTCATCTCACATTCAAAGAGAAAATTTGTAAGCTCCATGACAACAGGGATTCATCTGTTAAGCAAGCGAATGTTTATCAAACACTGCCCTGTCTTAGGCGCTGTTTCGGGTGCTGGTGATAAGGCAGTGAAGAAAACAGAAACAAACTTATACCCTGTGGAATAGACATTTGAGGGAGGAGGGTTTATAGACAGAAAGGAAGGGAGGAAGGGATTGAAAAAAAGAAAGGAAGGAAAAAGAGAAAGAAAGACAAAGACCATAGAAAGACACAAAGTAAGAGAGAGAAAAGAAAGACAGAAAAATGAGAAAAATAAAAAAGCCAAAAAATGGTGTGCCAGAGGGTAGTAAGTTCTTTGGAGAAAAATCACGCAGGAAAATGAGACAAGTAGATTATTTGGGGAGACCATTCCGGGTAAGAGAATAGAAAGAGCAACGTTGGAAAGGCCCAAGTGAGGCACTGTACCCGGGGTTTTTGTGTGTGGTGTTTTCTGCTGTATCCCCAGTGACTGAACAGTGCCTGACCCATAGGTGGCACTCAATAAACATTGATCTCAAAGAACCCAGGTGGCTTCATTAATTTTCTCTTTCTCTCTCTCCTCTTTTTTTTTTGTTTGGTTGTTTTATTGATCTGTGTTCTGACTTTCATTATTTTCTTTCTTCTGCTTACTTTATTTTTCGTTTTCTGGTTTTCAAGGTAGAAGCTGAGGTCATTGATTTGAGACCTTTCTTCTCTGTTACAGGTGTTGGGTGCTGTAAGTTTCCTCAAGCTCACCTTTAGCGGTATCTCACAGATTCTGATATGTTGTGTTGTGGCTTTTATTCAATTTAATATACTTTATAATTTCTCTTTTGATATCTTCTTCAGTTGGTGGATTATTTAGTCTCCAAATATTGGGAAGTCTTTCCAGATACCTTCTTTTATTGATTTCTAATGTAATTCCATTGTGGACTGAGAACATATTTTGTATGACTAGAATCCTTTTAAACTTATTAAAACTTGTTGTATGGTCCAGAATATTGTGTGCACTTGAAAAGAATATATATTCTGCTGTTATTGGCTATAGGATTCCATTCTGCTATATCCTTGCTGATGATTTTTGTATACTTGTTCTATCAATTCCTGAGAGAGATGTACTGAAATCTCCAATAAGAATTGTGGATTTGTCTATTTCTCCTTGTAGTTTTATCAGGTTTTGCTTCATGTAATTGGACAGTTTGTTATTAGGGGCACAAATGTTTAGAATTATGACTCTTGCCTCATTGACCTCTTTCTTGTTATGAAATAACCTTCTTTATCCTGGTAATATTCCTTGCTCCGAGATTTACTTTCATATTAAAATACTCAAGTCTTGCTTTCTTTTGGCTAACTAGTGTGAGCATGATACACCTTATTCTACCCTTTTATTTTTAATCTATTTTAAAATATTTATATTTAAAGGGTTTCTTAGAGGCAGCATATAGTTGGGTTTTGCTTTTTTAGTCAATGTGACAATGTCTGCTTTGTAATTAGAGTGTTTAGGCCATTTACATTTAATTATTGATGTGGTTATGTTTATTATATTGCTATTTTATACTTGTATCTTCTTTGTTTCTCTGTTCCTCTTTAGCTTCCTTCTTTTGGAACTAGTACATTTTGTTCCATTGTATTTCTTTGTTGGTTTATTAGCTTTAAGTCTTTGCTTTGTTACTTTAGTGATCACTCTGAAAGACAGGGCTGGCAGACTCTGGCCTCCAGGAAGAACCCAGCCAGCCACCTGCTTTTGTGTGGCTGTGAGCTAAGAATGGTTTTTATGTTTTTAAATGGTTGAAAAAAATAAAAAGAACAATATTTTGTTACCAGTGAAAATCATATGAAATTCCAATTTCAGGCTCCATAAATCAAGTTCTGTTGGAATACAGCCTCACTTATCTGTTTCCATATTGTCATTTTCTGCTTTGGCTTCACCCCAGCAGAGTGGAGTAGGTAAAAGAGACCACGTGATCAACAAAGCCTAAAATATTCATCTGGCCCTTTATAGAAAATGTTTGAAATGTTTGCAGATCCCTGCTTGAGAGTTTATAGTGTACAAATTTGACCTTTGAGTGATAGTATGCCACTTCCCATGGTGTAAAAGAACCTTAGATAGTGTATTTCCGTTTGTCCCTCCCTGGCCTTTATGCTATTGTGGTCACACATTTTACTTCTACGTGTGTTATAAACTCCACCAAATGTTGTTATTATTTTTGCTTAAACAGTCAATTATATTAAAAAATTATCTTCGAAAGAGACATAATTAAAAAAAAGTATCTGTTGATTCCCAGTATTACTCTTTTCAGTGTTCTTTAGTCCTTTGTATAGATCTATATTCCATTTGATATCATTTTCCTTTTGCTTGCAGGTTTCCTCTAGCATTTCTTGTGGCGTGGGTCTGCTGGCGATGAGTTCCTTCAGCTTTTGTGTATCTGAAAACATCTGTATTTTGTATTCATTTTTGAAAGCTATTTTTGCTAGGTTAAAGAATTCTGGTTGGACAGTTACTGTCTTTGAATACATTGAAGATGTTGCTTCATTGTGGTTTTTTCCATTCTTCCCTAGGTGAAATCTGCTGTCATCCTTATTTCTAGTCCTCTGTATTTAAGATATCTCTTCTCTGGCTGCTTTTAAGATTTTGGTCTTTATCATTGGTTTTTAACAGATTTTTTTTAAAAATGATGGATCTTAGTGTAGTTTACTTCATATTTCTTGTTCTTGGCAGTCATTCACCTTCATGGCTCTGTGAGTTTAGAGTTTTCAGCAAGCTTGGAGAATTTTCAAGGTATTGTTTCTTCAAATATATATATATTTTATCCACCTCCTCCTTTAGGGACATTATCCCACAGATCGCTGATGTTTTTTCATTTTTAAATATGCTTTTTGTTTTTAGTTCTGGAAAGTTTCTGTTGTGAAGTCTTCTGATTTGTCAGTCTTTCTTTTGCAATATGTAATCTGTTGTTAATTCTATCCACTGTGTTTTTCATTTCAAGTGCTGTAGTTTTTATCTCTAGGAGTTCTACTTTTTAAAAAGATTGTATTTATTTACTTTTAGACAGAGGGGAAAGAGGGAAGAAAGAGAGGGAGAGAAAAGACAATGTGTGGTTGCCTCTCGCATGCTGCCCAGTGGGGACCCAGCCTACAACCCAGTCATGTGCCCTGATGGGGAATCGAACAGGAGACCCTTTGGTTTGCAGGCTGGCACTCAATTTAATGAGCCACACCAGCCAGGGCTGTTTTTATTGATTTTATTTTATTTTTTAATGATATATTACTAATTAAGCTATTGCAGTGGTCCTGATTTTACCCCCTTAGCCACTTTCCACCCAGCACCTCCCACTCTCTCCGGCAATCCCCACACCATTGTTCACGTCCATGGGTCATGTGTATAAGTTCTCTGGCTACTCTATTTCCTATACTGTATTTTATATCACTGTGGCTATTCTGTAACTACCTATTTGTACTTAGTCCCCTCACCTCTTAACCCATTCCCCCTCACCGCCCTCCATTCTGGCAACCATCAAAATGCTCTTTGTATCCATTATTCTCTCTGTTTCTCTTGTTTGTTTTATTTGTTTTTTCGATTCAGTCGTTGATAGGTATGTATTTGTTGCTGTTTTATTGTTCATAGTTTTGATCTTTTTCTTAAATAAGTCCCTTTAACATTTCATGTAATAATGGTTTGAATATGATGAATTTTAGCTTTTCTTGTCTGAGGAGCTGTTTATCTGTCCTTCAATTCTAAATGATATCTTTGCTGGGTAGAGCAATCTTGGCTGTAGATCCCTGCTTTCAATGACTTTGAATACTTCTTGCCAATCCCTTCTAACCCACAAAGTTTCTTTTGAGAAATCAGCTGACAGTCTTATGGGAGTTCCACTGTATGTAATTAACTGCTTTTCTCTTGCTGCTTTTAAGATCCTCTTTTTATCTTTAACCTTTCGCATTTTTCTTTTTAAATATTTTATTTATTTATTTTTAGAGATGAGGAAGG